CGTTGACTTCTGGCTTGGGCATGGGTGGCGTCACAATACCATTGGGCAGCACTCATCGGTTGCGGTTGGCGCCGCGTTTGACGGAGGGAGTGGTGGGGGGGGGGGGGAGGGGGGGGGTGAGTGCGGCGGAGAGGACTGGGGGCATCCAGGTGGGGGGGAGGATTGGGGGGACGGGTGCGTTGGGGAGAGAGCAGTGCAAGACAGGCACAACCAAAGGACAACGGTGCATCTTGGTCACAGAATCGCCAACCCAAACCGTTCCCCGCCAACGCCCTCCCTCATGGAAACAGGTGGAACGGGGAGGGGGGGTGGTCAAGACGGCATGCCGAAATCCCAACCCCTTTTTTCCCATCTTCTCCTGCCACCACCCACACTCTAAAGTTGGCCTCAGGACCTTGGTGAGGGCAGAGGTTGGCCATGAGGGCGAAAGGGGGCGGGGCCCGAGCAACGGTTGGGGCAAGGGGGCGGGGCCCGAGCGACGGTTGGAGAGCGAGGCGAGCCTTGTTGCCGGGGCGCGCGTTTTGGCGGAACCTTTGTTGCCATGGAAACCACCCAGGGCGCGTGACCCGGTGGAAGCCTTGTTGCCATGGAAGCTGCGGAAAGGGGCGGGGCCAGATCAAACCCTACTCTTTCCAACGTCGAGTCCCCCAAAGGCAGGAGTCGGAGGTTGGAGGATAAGACGTCATTGCGGGTCACGTCGGGTGGGAGCGCAGTCGTTGTTGGGCGGGAAGGGGTGATGCCATTACGGGGCAAGGCGAAAAGGGTGAAGCGGTGGGAAACGTCATTGCGGGGCACGTCGTGGGATGAGGTCCAGCCAGGTTGGCGGAGAAGGGTAACGTCAATGCGGGGCGACGTCAGCGGACGGGGCAAGCAGAGGCCGTTTGGGACAGCCGCAGGGTGTCCGTGGTGTCGCTCAAGGGCGGGACTGAGGCACGTGTTGAGGTCACTTCCCGGAGTGCCGGAGACGATCAGAACATCAAGATGGCGGCGCTGAGAGTGGGCGCAGGAGGTGGGCTGTCAGATTGATTATAGGATGGAGACGGAGACGACGCTCAGACCGATGTTGTACTATAGATGTGTATTACAAGACTAGGCAGAGAGCGCGAGCTGGAGAGGGCCGTCTCTGCAGCTGCACTGGAGAGGGATGTTAGGGGTTAGAGAGCGCGATGGGGAGAGGGCGGGGCGACGTCGTTGCGGGGCACGTCGGGGGCGGATGGGGCGACGTCCATGCGGGGCAGGAATAGGGCCAACGGAGGGAGAGCGGCCGGGCGTGCGCGGTGACGTTTAGAGGTGGGGACGGCGGGACGGGGTGAGGTCACTTCCGGAAACGTGAGCGCAATCACCCAAGATGGCGGCGCTCAGAGTGAGCAGTGGAGGTTGTCTCTCAGACGTACATTATATAATGGGGTGGGGGCGGGGCGGGTGGTGAGCGTCTCAGATCGATGTTATATTATATACATGTATTATAGAGAGATTAGGGTGGATTGGCCAATGGGAAATTGTCCCGTAGTGCCCAGGGATGTGCGGGTTAGGGTGGGTTGGCCAATGGGAAATTGTCCCCTAGTGCCCAGGGATGTGCGGGTTAGGGTGGGTTGGCCAATGGGTAATTGTCCCGTAGTGCCCAGGGACGTGCGGGTTAGGGTGGGTTGGCCAATGGGTAATTGTCCCGTAGTGCCCAGGGACGTGCGGGTTAGGGTGGGTTGGCCAATGGGTAATTGTCTCGTAGTGCCCAGGGACGTGCGGGTTAGGGTGGGTTGGCCAATGGGAAATTGTCCCGTAGTGCCCAGGGACGTGCGGGTTAGGGTGGGTTGGCCAATGGGAAATTGTCCCGTAGTGCCCAGGGACGTGCGGGTTAGGGTGGGTTGGTCAATGGGAAATACAGGGTAACGGGGATAGTATGACTACGTCTCAGTGCGATGCTCTTTGGAGGGTCGGTGCAGACATGATGGGCCGAACAGCCTCTTTCTGCACCGTTGGGATTCAACAATTCTTTGAATCTACCCGAGGTGAGGTTAGAGAGAGAGCGGGACAGAGGATGGTGGAGTTAGAGATCGCACAGGAGCGTGGAAAGGGGGATGGTTGGGTCAAATCTTTGAGGAGGAGAATCAGAGTGGAAGGCAGGGTCGCAAGAGGTAGGGAGAGGGACAGAGATGGAGGAATGCAGAGGGGGAAATTACAGGCAGATTAAAGTCAGTAAGAAATGCATGAATATGGTGAAAACGATGGGAAATATTCTAGCACCTGTCAGACAGGGATTGGCAGTGGGGGTGGTTTTGCGTCGGGGATGTAGGTGGTGAAGTTTGAGCATAGGGAGTGACTGTTGGAGAGGGAGGACGCTGGGGACTGAGCTACACCCATCACCATGTTAACCTTTCTCTGTATTTTCCAGTTCCAAAGAGCTGTATCCGGAGTTTGCTGACTGTTCGAGCGGTGAGTGCCCAATCCGACAGGAAACCAGAGCTGTGTATCTAACCCTGTCCTGGGAGTGTTTGATGGGGGACAGTGTAGAGGGAGCTTTACTCTGCATCTAATCCTGTGCTGTCCCAGTCCCTGGAAGTGTTTGATGGGGGGAGGGGATAACAGTGTAGAGGGAGCTTTACTCTGTATATTTGAGCCTTCTGCCTGTCTGCGTGCAGGCCCTGAGGATTTGCTCTCTCTCTGTTGATTGACAGACCCGGCTCCCCCAGTGCGTTCTGGTGGCCCCTGTCCTATCTCGGAGTCTCGCCGCTGAGGCCAAGAAGACCTACCAGAGAGAGAAACCTCACATGAATATCGGCACCATCGGCCATGTGGACCATGGGAAAACTACACTGACGGCAGCCATCACCAAAGGTAGCGTGGGAGGAGGAGGGAGCGAACGGGAGGGTGTCGAGGGGGAACTGAGTGGAGGGGGGTGTGTTGGGGGGAGCCGACATGGCGAGAGAGAGGGTGGGAAGTGGAGCCAACAAAGCAAGGAGGTGGGGGGGGTGGGGGGGGGGGGGGGGGGGGGGGGGGGGGGGTTGTCGGAGTGTTCTGCATGGTAGACTAATTTGTAAAGTTAGTTCACACAGGATTCAGGGAGAGCTTACCAATTGGATAGAAAATTGGCCTGACAGCATGAGGCAGAGGGTGGAGGTGGAGGTGGTGGTGGGGTGTGGTTTTCAGATTGGAGGCCTGTAACCAGCAGTGTTCCACAGGGATCAGTGCTGGGTCCGTTTCTGTTTGTCTTTTATATAAATGATTTGGATGAGAATATACAGGGTATGGTTAGAAAGTTTGCGGATGACACCAAAATTGGTGTTAAGAAGGTTATCTAAAATTACAAAGATCTTGATCAATTGGGACAGTGGGCAAAAGAGTGGTAGATGGAGTTTAATTTGGATAAATGCAAGGTCTTGCATTTTAGAGAAACAAACAAGGGCAGGGCTTATACAATTAATGGTAGGGCCTTGGGTAGTGTTGTAGAACAGAGAGACCTGGGGGGGCTTCAGGGACATAATTCTATAAAGTTTGTGTCACAGATAGACAGGGGGGGGTGAAGAAGGTGTTTAGCACACTTGCCTTCATCTCTCAGAGCTTTGACTGTAGGAGTCGGAGACGTCACGTTGAGGTTGTACAGGGACGTTGGTGAGGCCCCTTCTGGAGCAAGTGTGTCCAGTTCTGTTGTAGGAAGGATATTATTAAACTGGAGAGGGTTCAGGAGAGATTTACCAGGATGTTGCCAGGTATGGAAGGTTTTGAGTTATGAAGTAAGGCTGAGAATTTTTTCACTGGAATGTAAAGGTTCAGAGGCAACCTTTAGAGAGATTTATAAAATAATGGAGTTAATGGTCGTTGTCTTTTCCCTAGGATGGGGGATTTTAAGACTAGGTGGTGTACTTTTAAGGTGAGAGGAGAGAGATTTAAAAAAGACATGAAGAGCAATGTTTTTATGCAGAGGGTGGTTCGTGTGTGGAATGACCTTCCAGAGGAAGCGATGGACGTGGGTACAGTTACAACGTTTAAAAGACATTTGGATAAATACGGGCATAGGAAAGGTTTGGAGAGGATATGGGCCAGGAGCAGGCAGGTGGGACTGGTTTAGTTTGGGATTGTGTTTAGCACGGATTGAGCAGGCTGAAGGGCCAGTTTTCATGCTGTACGATTCTATGATCAGATCTGCGGCGATCTCATTGAGCAACAAAGCGGACTCGATGGGCCAAAAGGCCTACGTTTCCTATACCCCGGGGTATAGAAAGGGAACAGGAAAGGGAGAGTGTGTGTGATGTCGAGAGGATGGGAGCATAACTTGCAGAGCAAGAGAGAGAGAGAATGTGAGGATGGTGAAGGAATGTCGTGATGGATGGTGGCGAATAGGCGGTAGAAGGTGGTGAGAATGGAGAAGAGACTGCTGAGCACAATTTTGTGAGTGTGAGGGAGACAGCTTCTGAGCCATCAATTCTGGTCACCCTGCTATAGCCTGAAAGGGTTCGGAAAAGATTTACAAGGATGTTGGAGGGTTTGAGCTACAGGGAGAGCCTGGGGGCTGTTTTCCTTGGAACATTGGAGGCTGAGGGGCATGGATAGGGTGAATAGCTTTTACCCCAGGGTAGGGGGGGGATCCAAAACTAAATGGGCATAGGTTTAAGGGGAGAGGGGAAAGATTTGAAGGAGCAACGTTTCCACACAGCGTGGTGCTTGTATAGAACAAGCTGCCAGAGGAAATGGTTGGGGGGAGCTGGTACAGTTACAACATTTAAAAGGCATCTGGATGGGGACATGGATAGGGAGAGTTTATGGGAGGGTTTATAAAATCATGAGGGGCATGGATAGGGTGAATATCTTTTCCCCCCAGGGTAGGGGAGTCAAAAACTACAGGAGCAGAGGTTTAAGGTGAGATGGGAAAGATTTGAGGGGTAACTTTTTCACGCAGAGGGTGGTGCGTGTATGGAATGAGCTGCCAGAGGAAGTGGTGGAAGCTGATACAGTTAAAGCATATAAAAGGCATCTAGATGAGGACATGGAGAGGAAGGGTTTATGGGCCAAATGCTGGCAAAATGGGACTGGATTAGCTCAGGATATCTGGTGTTGCCTCTCTTCTCCCTCCACAGTTCTAGCTGAGGCCGGAGGTGCCAAATTTAAGAAGTACGAGGACATCGACAACGCCCCCGAGGAAAAAGCCCGGGGGATCACCATCAACGCGTCTCACGTGGAGTACACCACGCCGAACCGACACTACGCTCACACTGACTGCCCAGGGCACGCCGACTACGTCAAGGTGAGCGAACGCCACGCGGGGACCGGAGGAGCGACTGGGAGCGGGTGCCGGGATCCCGCGCCCCAGGAAAGGGGCTGTCGTCCTCAGGAGGGGGTGCGGAGTAGAGAGAGACCCCCACCCACCAAGCACCACCAGTGTTGAGTCACCTCCGAGACTCCGTGCGCACACACAGGAAAGTCTCGATCCCCTGGGATCGGGACAGACCAGGGGCTGATCTGATCACTCGGAGATTCTGGGATTTTCGGGCTAGATGGGGAGAAACCGGGGTGGGAGTCCGGGCCGAGGGGTTAGGGGGGTACTGGCCTTTCCAGAGTCAGATTGGAAGGCCTTCTCCGCGCAGAGCAAGGAGAAACACTCTCTCCAGGAAACTCTCAATATCCATCATCTCGTTTCCAATCAGAGAGAGCGATCGCTTCCCGTTCGCTGAAGAGATTTTGGGAGTGTTTGTGGGGGGGGGGGGGGGGGGGTGGGGGGGGGGGGGGTAGGGGTAGGCGTAGAATTGTGGTCAGCTCATGGATCAGACCCTGCCCCCCTCAAAGGGGCTGAATGGCCTTCTGTTCCTGTGTAAGAGGCTGGAGGAGGGGGGTGGGGGATGAATGGCCTCGTGATTCTGTTGCAGAGACTCAGCGAATGCAATAGCGCTGCACTGAAGTGGGGGTTATAGTTTAAATCACTCCCACCCCTTCCCCAATGCGAATCTCCGTTTTACGTTCCCTCTCTCCAGCTGTCCCTGTCTGTCACTGACTCATTCTCTCGCTCTCTCTCTCACACCGCACCCACCTCCCCCAACCCCCTTTGTACATGTCGCTGGCTCACTCTACACACCCCCAATCCCAACCTCTCTCTGTGTCTCCCTCTCTCCCGCCCCCAACCTTCCTATCTGTTGCTGGCTCTCGCTGTCCCCATCTGTCTGTCTCTGGCTCTCTCTCTCCTTCTCACTCTCTCCTCTGACTGTCGCTGGCTCGATCACTCCCTTTCCCCTCTGTCTGTCGCAGGCTCGCTCTCTCTCCCTGTGACTGTCTCTGGCTCGCTCTCTCCTTCTCACTCTCTCCCTCTGACTGTCACTGGCTCGATCACTCCCTTTCCCCTCTGTCTGTTGCAGGCTCGCTCTCCTCCATCTCACTCTCTCCCTGCCTATTGCTGACTCTCTCTCTCTCCCCCACAGAACATGATCACGGGCACGGCTCAGCTGGATGGCTGTATTCTGGTTGTGGCAGCAACAGATGGTCAGATGCCGCAGACCCGGGAGCACTTGCTGCTGGCCAAGCAGGTGACTGTTTCATCATGGGACGTGGCCATCGCCGGCAAGCGCAGCGCGTGACCCCTCGTTTCTCGGGGTGTTCACAGTGGGTCAGGAGTCACCTGTAGGCCCAGGCTGAGCAGGGAACACTGATTCCCTTCACTAATGGGCACTGGTGAGCGAACAGCCAGAGATGGGTTAGGAGTTGCCTATTTTAACCTCGGATATTTATCCCAAATTTTCAATCATTTCACCATATTCTGCGGGGGGATTCGAAACTGTGTCCCCAGCACATTAACTGCGGTATGTTGCAGTCCACTAAACCCTCCCCCTCTGCAGTATAGTGTGTGTTCAGCACGCTGTCGGCAGGGGTGGGGGGGGGGGGGGGGGGG